TCCTTCCTTCCTTCCTTCCTTCCTTCCTTCCTTCCTTCCTTCCTTCCTTCCTGGCCACTGTCCGGGTTCCCCCCTCGGTTTCCACCAGGCCAGACGACTCTGCAGAGTCACAAGGCCCAAAGCTAGGCAGGCCACGGCAGCTCAAGTCCAGGGCTAGAAATTAAAACGGGGAGGGGCACGGGGCATTGACTTTAATCCCATCCTTTAGCTTGGCCAAATTGAGGAAGGTATTTCTCACCCCTTAGAGTCTTTAAGGGGTAAGTTAAAAGGCCTCTGCCTCTGTTAGTTGGAAGAAAATACCCACCCCCAAATCCGAACGGAAAGCAGCGACTCCTAAAAACGGGGTAATTAAATTCACGTGTGAACACTGTGCCTGCAAGAGTGTGTTTCTCATTAACCCACTTCCCTGGCGGCGAGGGCAAGCGGCGAGGGCGCTTCCATCCCCTTTTCTGCCTTCATTCTCCCCAACAGTTCCAGTAATCCTCCCCCAAACCCTGTACATCCCTGTCCCTAACGGGGACCCTCAAATGCCAGGCTCTGCCTCCGGGCGAGGCTGAGACGCCAGGCGGAGACCAACTGGGTGCCCCTTTATCCGCCCGCGCCGGAAGAGGGAAGTGGCCGACACAGTGAACTCCGACGTGGCTGGTCCTGGTCGCCTCAGCCTCCTCCCCCCTAATATTTTCCTTTCCCTGTAAATTCCTCCGTGTTATCCCCACCCCCACCGCGGCCCGGTGTGTCCCAAATATCGGGCAGTTCGCGGTGCCTCTGAGATTTTCATGAAGATTTTCATTAAGAAATATTAACCCTAGAGGAAACCTCGCTCCTAATTGTAATTGTCTGCGAAAAGGCTGGACTCGCCTTGTTGTTTTTCGACTTTTTGTGCCCAGAGAAGACACAAATTATTACTAGTATATTTTTTAAAACAAAAAGGCTCTTCCTTTAAATGGCTTTGGCCCCCAGAATAGGACAGTTACTACATAATCAGCAGGTGCTGAGTGTTCATCAGTACTTACTTGTGCCTAGACGGCGAGAAAAATTACAAAAACAAAACAAACAAACAAAAAAAAACCAAAACAAAAACCCCTAACGTTATCCCCTTTCAGCCCAGAGATTTGGGGAGAAAAATATTCAGGCTTTTGAGTCAGCTGTTATTTTGGAAATGAAAGGGACTGCGTGTGTATAAAAAAATAATAAATGGGTATAATTACAAACCATCTCTTTTCGCCTGAGAGTTCTAAAACCTTGGCCTCCAAAACAAATCCAATACTCTGGTCCAGAAAATAGCACAGAGGAGTTGAGGGGAAAGCAGTGTGCCGGCCTTTCAGATAACAGGACCGCAGGCAGAGCAATGGAAACAGCTCCTGCAGCTGGAGTGGGGTGGGGACTCAAAGGTTGGTGGGCATGAGTCTGATGGTGTGTGTGTGTGTGTGTGTGTGTGTGTGTGTGTGTGTGTGTGTTTGGGGGCCAGGGAGGGATGAAAATTGTTTTCAGTTCCGTAAGGATTCAACTGGCTTCCAATGGTGGACTACAACTTGGAACAAGGGCTCAAGTTTGTATTACAATGGTTCTGGAATTTAGGATTTCTTTCTGCTATTATTTGAAACAGACTAGAGCTGGAAGGGTCCCTGCCTCCAGCACCTTTCTGCACAAGGATGCCATATCTAACAGACTCTGAACCTGACAGAAGCTACTGGCAAACAAGCAACCAATCTTTGCCCTACCAGGGTTCCCTTACCGCGACTAAAGCCTGAGCTGGGACCTGCAGGCCCAGGAGACTCGAGGAAGCTTCCAGGCGGAATTCCCTGCGTAGCCAGGCTCCACATAGCTTGGCTGGGCCTCAGCACAGGTCCCAGCCTCAGGTGCCCAGTTAGGGTAGGGAGAGCCTCCTTGCCCTTGGTGTGGGCACACAAAAACGCCGCCAATGCCCTCTAATCGGATCTCTTAGGCTGCAGTTTCCAATCCGCAGAGTAAGAACGCAAGGCCGCCGCCATCCGGTCGTGATCATAACCGAGGCCTTGTCTGTGCAGCAGCACACCAGGCCCAGATCCACAGCCCTGAACAGCTGTCCCACGCAAGCCCTTCCTTGGCAGATTCCGACCACAACTTGAGCGCGCAGAGAAAAATAAGACCCCAGCCCCAGACTCTCCCCAAACCAGCCCTGGGTCCCTCCCGGAGTTAGAGTTAGGGAGGCGAGGTGGTAGAGATAGAAAAGTAGGCACAGAGAGACTGAAAATGAAAGAAAAATAAAGGTAAGGGAAGACAGAAGGAAGAAGTAAAGGAAGGGAAAAAAACAAAAAAGCACAAAGAGGAAGGAAGCGAGGAAGAAAAGGAAGAGTCAAAGGCGACTCCTGGGAGCCGAGGACAGCTTACAGAAAGAAGGGTAAGTGACAAGGCCAGGATCCCAGCCCCTTTCCGCCGTTGTCCCTCCTAGTTTGGCCTGAGTCTCTCTCAAAGGGATCTTTCCTGATCTCTACCCTGGATTGGGACTGGTAGTATCCCAGCCTTGCAGGAGAATGGCAGGATCCCTGGCCAGGCACAGGCCTGGAGTGGGGGGAGGCCCAGGATGGAAGCGTGCGCCCCTGACCTTGAATGGCTCAGGGCCCAGAATTCCTACCACGCCCCCGGCGTCCGCCAAGAAGCAGCTAACCTGACCATACCTGCTCGGGGCCAGGTGGGCACGGGCTGGTAGGTGAAGCCAGCAACCTGACAAAGCGCTGAGAAGGAGGCAGGGACGCGGCTCCTGCACGGGGAAAAGCCGAGGTTGCCACCGCAGGCCTGGCACGACCAGGGCCTGGATGCCCCGCCCGGCCCGGCCCCCGCGCGCACAGGTACCTGGAGACGATTTCAACTGAAGTAATGAAGGCAGTGTCGTGCTGTCGAGAGAAAGGTGGATCCCAACAACAGGAAACTACCTAAATCACCGACCAGTTCTGGTGCTGCCCGCGCGGGGCTGCCTCGCCCGCCGCTGCCGCCGCCACTGCCGCCGCCACTGCCGCCGCCAAAGGGAGAACCCTGCGATCGCGCCCGGCCGACCCCCCCCCCCCCCTTGCCAACCTGCGCCTGCGCTGCCACTGTGTGAGCGGCACTACCGCTAAGGCATCACGGAGGGAGAAGCCACCGGCCCCGGTAAGGTAAACCTGGAAAAGGGAAGGAAGGAAGGTAAAGGAGAGAGAGAGGAAAATGGAAGGAGAGGAGAAAGCGAGAAGAGAGGAGAGCGAGCAGTGTGCGTGCTCGTTTCCCAAATCTTGCTTCTCAGCGAGCACGCGCCGAGCTGCGGCAGCCCCGAGCAACTCGAAAGCGCCAGGGTCGGCACGCAGCCCGGCTCCCAGTCTGGTCTCGGCCTCCGGCGGCTCGCTCCCCGCCACTCGCTCTCCCCCTCTCTCCCTCCCAGCCAGCCAGCCAGCCGGGGCGCGCGCTCCCGCGCCCCCTCCCCCTGCCGTCGCGCCCCCCGCCCCCCACCTCCCGCGAGCAGGAAACGCGTGGCCCCGAGGAGGGCGACCAGGTGGGGGAGGCCATGCTGGGGGAGGGGGCCGTGCAGCCCGCAGCAGTCTACCTAACTGCTGCCGCGGACGCTAGTGACGCGCTCTTGGCCCAGCCTGCTCCCCGGATTCTTAGGCTGGGGGTCATCTGGGACCAGGGGACCCACAAAACAACCGGCGTCTGCGAGCCTCCCTGGGGCTCCCGAAAGAAATCCTGTTTGGCTTCCTCTGTCTATGCAGCTCCCCTCTCAACTGAAACCACTGGTCCAAGACAGCCACAATCCAGATATACTAGCAAGTCATAAAACTGAACAAAAGCCGACAAACCTTACGGCACCAGGGCTATAGGGCCCAGACAAATTACGACCGTCTAGGTAATATTTAAATAGATGCCTAAAGTAATTGCAGGGGGCGCGGGCTAGTCCTCCTGTTGTAAAAGTGGTGGCCGGGATAAAGTGGAAGGTGAAGATAAGAAGTCAAAAAAAGAGGTAAAATTAAAAAGCTTCATTCCACAGCTTTTATTCTTCTATAAGAACATAAACATCGTCTTTTTTCCACGCACAGCAGCATTACAATATTAATTTATTCTGATTTAAGATTAGAAGTAAATAGAGCTAGAACTAACATTTATAATAACGATAGAATGCATTTGCATAAAACAAGATTGGCAATTTTTCATAATAATAGACATTTATACAGATTTGTATTTATAATTTTTCTTTTTCTGCACCTACAGGTTTGACCCTTTTATGCATGTAATTTCACAGTATAAAGGAAACCCAAACAAAGTCTCCCTTCTCTAGTCTATTCCGCTTGCCCCAGCCCTCCTTGGGTTCTATGAATTTTAGAAAGGAAAAAGAGGAAGAAGAAAAAAGAAAATGAGAAAGAAAACTCTCCACAAGACAGGGAGAATTGTGGTGTGCTTGTCGTGTGTTACCAGTGGTAACAATTACTTAATGACAAAAAAAAAAAAAAACCCACTAAATCCACACGCATAAACAAAACTACCTTAGGTTATTTATCTACAGACAGAAGGATATGGAAATTCAGAGGTAAGTGAAATAATTTAGTCCCACAATGCAAGACTAACACAAACTGGAAGAGAAGTTTCCTTCTCCTGGTCGTTCTTTTTTTTTTCTTTTTCTTTTTCTTTTTCTTTTTTTCCTTTTAAAGCTGGGATATCTTGCAGAGGAAGGAAAGATTAATCTTTCTTACTCTCAATTTTTTAATCAGCCAAAGTCAAGCCCTTTTGCCAGCCTGCATGTCCATGCCTGTAAGCCCTTCTCTTTGCCAAGGAAGAAAGAAAGAAAGAAAAAAGAAACCCAGGGGCCTGTGTCCCCTGATTAAACACAGCCCAGCACTCCAGGCAGGCGAGCCCGGTGGCGGCTCCTTGCACCATTGACCTCAGGCCAGACACCTCAGCGCCTACAATGGGACCTCGGCCTTCCGGCTAGGTTTGCCCGCCCCCGCAGGAAACCAGCTCCACCGGGAGGACCGGAGCCATTTCCAGCAGAGGAACCCCGAGACAGCAAACCAGCCCAGTCACCACTCAACACTTCAGGACAATAGTTCTCTCTCTAGAAATTTAGCACGATATGGCTTTTTCCCCCAGAAAACAAGTAAACCAGCACCAAGCAAACAGACAAAGAAACAAAAAGTCAGAACAAACCAGCCCTGCACAGATGTAACGGCCAGCGAGATGGCGAGTGTGGGAGGGAGGAATGGGGCTCCGGCACAGGTGCGAGTTCCTGGGCAGAGGGCAGAGGCCGAAGACAGAGAGAGGAGAATGGCTCTCTGGCAGCGGGGAAAAAAAAAAAAAAAAACGGCGTTGCCTGGAGCTTCATCAGGAAAAATTAAAATTGGCTGTGAGCTCCCGGATCCGGTTTTCTCGGTTCATTTTCTTCAGTTTCATCCTGCGGTTCTGAAACCAGATTTTAACTTGTCTGTCCGTGAGGTGGACGCTGCGGCTGATCTCTAGGCGCCGCTCTCGAGTAAGGTACATGTTGAACAGAAACTCCTTCTCCAGCTCCAGCGTCTGGTGCTTGGTGTAAGGGCAGCGCTTCTTCCTGCCGCTCTTTGCTGTGAGCCAGTTGGCTGCGTTTTCGCCTTTGGAATTGCCTGGCATTCAAGAGAATAAAGAGGGGAAGGTTAAATCGGGGCCAGGCTAGGCTGTGCGCAGGGGTGAATTTGGGACTTCTCTGCCATAAGAGGGATGCCCTAAGTCACACGGAGTTTTGCGGCCGTCCCCCCCCCCCTCCCCTTTAGCTTGCTCAAGAAGATCATTCCTCCAACAGGCATGTGCAAAATGGACAGGGCCTTCAATCTACACCTACCCTCCCAGCTCACATGTCCCTCCACTTTCCCCCAAACACCTGTTTTAACACAAAGCTGCCAGGCGCTCCCAGAACGAAAGAACGAAAGCCTGCTGCTGTACTGCTTGAACTTAACGCCTTTCTCTGCTTCTCGCCCCAAGGCAGACAAGCACTTCCTGCAGCCCCCAGGCAGGGGGCATGGGTGCCTACTTGGAAGGGAGGGGGGCCGTTTGTGTCTCACTCCAGTCCCCTGATTGCCTAAGGCCCAATGAGGAGAGGGACGAGGACACAGTTGGGACCTGGAGAAGGCACAAAAAAACTGATTCGGGGTCAAGGGCCGTCCCTCACGTCCTTCCAGGAGCCGGGGACATGCAGTCTGGGCGATTCCGAGTTTCAGGGGAAGTGAAATGGTCCCTTTCGGACTCTCTCAGCTCAGGGCCCCGGCGTCCGGGCGGGATTTGCCTTTTCTTCTCCCCGCAAGGAGGATTCCCGCCCCTCCAGCAACTTTGAAAAAAGCATGGGGGATCGTAAACTCGAACTTCGCCGGTTAATGGGCTTATTTATTGGTGCTGGCGGCTGCTTATTTTGGATGCCTTACAAACATCCGCGCTATCTGCGGGCGAGCCACTTTCCTCCCTCCCCCTCCCCCCGCGTGGGCCGCGCCTCGCAGACTGGGCCCAGACCACGGCTTAGGGTGCTCCGGGCCACGGAGAAGGGCATGCACGAGAGGGGGGCTGCTTGTCCCTGTCCTCGGCCCCAATTGGGGTGAGCTGAGGCCAGAGCGGAGGACGTCTTGGTGTGGGGCTCTAAGTCGGACATGAATTTTTACTGCGTCCCCACGCCCAAATATTAAAAAGCAAGTTCACAAGGTCAGCCTGCCTGCAGCTTGGGCCAAGGCCGGCCGGCTGCTGCGCGGACTCCTGGCTCTCTGCTCTTTCCCTTCTCTGGGTCGGCTTGCCTGTCTGCCCGCCTGACTGCGCCCCTTCAGCGCGCCCTGCTTACCCAGGGAGTCCTTCTCGGGCGAGGCTTTGCTGCTTTCGGAAGGGGCTGGGGAGAGCTCCTCCGCGGCCGAGGACGACGCGTGCGCCTCCTCGTCGCCCTGCGAGCCCCCGCCGCCGCCACCGCAAGTCAGCGTGGGGGGCGGCGGTGAATCGAGGGCTCGCTCTTTCCGGGCTGCATCCGCTGAGCCGGAGGCGAGTGCGGGTGGCGGGTCGAAGCCGCGCCCGGGGGGCTGAGCGGGGAACGGGCCGGCGCCGAGCTGCTGTGCGCCGCCGCTGCTGCCGTAACCCTTGGCCGTGCCATAGGCCTGGGAGAGGCGGAAGTAGCCGGGCACTGGCACCCCGCTGGAGGTGCTCAGGGCGCAGCCGTCGGGCGGCGGGCCTCGCGGGAAGGGAGCCAGCTCGGCTGCGGCGGTGGAGCCTTTGGGGCATTTGTCCGCCGAGTCGTAGAGGCAGTAGGAGCTCTCCTCTTTGATGTTCTGCGCGAAAGAGCACGAGGTGGCCTGCGGCGGGGGTTGGGGTGGTTGCGGCGGGGGCGGTGGCTGTTGCTGGGGCGGTGGCGGCGGCGGCGGCGGCCCCTCGGGCTGCTCCATCCGGCACGACCGGGGCGCGTCTAGCCACAGGTCTATAGGCGCGGGCGCGTAGCTGTGCGCCCCAGGACCCAGGCCCCCGCTGCCGCCGCCGCCGCCCGGCGACGCCGCCTCATTGCGCTTGCCTCCCAGAGCCGGGAAGAGCCCGCAGCTCTGCAGCCCGTAGGGCAGGTCGGCCGCCGGTGGCAGGTAGACCCCGCCGTGGGCGTAGTAGCCGCCGCCACCGCCGCCCCCGGCGCCGCTGCCACCGCCGCCAGCCTCGCCTCTGCCGGAGCTGATGAGCGAGTCGACCAAAAAAGAGTTCGCGGCGGGGCTCTCCGAGCATGACATTGTTGTGGGATAATTTGGCGAAGGGAGCAGATAGCCCTTTCTGGCTGACATTTCTTGTGCAAAACATGCTGAATACGATTAGCAATCCCCCCGCACCGCGGCGGGCGCCCGCAGCCAATCCTGAGCCAGAGTTTCCGCGCGACCACTCCCAGTTTGGTTTCGTAGGCGCGGGGCCGCTCTCCGAGGGCGCCCTCTGAGCCCACGATTGATATAAATATGTAATCTGTATTGATGGGCCAGGAGACGCACACCCAATACCTCAGCCCAAAGGCCAGGAGCTGTGGGGGCTGCCCCAACGTGGCTAGTGGGGGGCCTGGTTCCTGGGCTAGCCCCGCCCACGCTCGGACGTGAGCCCTCCTGCGGGGTCTGTTTGAAGGGCCCTTGGGCCCCCGCGCAGTTAACAAGTGGGGTGTTTATGGTGCGCACCCCGGCCCGCCTTGGGTGCTCCCCACTCTTATTTCGGAATTAGCCACTAGCCTTCCATATACTCTAAACACTAAGCGGGCCTATTGTAGGGCCTCAGACTCTTCCCGTTCGGCTCCGGACCTGGAACTGTCTCCTACAAGTGGCCGACCTGGCCGTAAGGCCACCAAGAACCTCAGAGTGTCCGAGATCCAGAGCGCACTGGAAGCCGGCTATTGCCACTTCTTTCTTGATTCCCATACGTAATTTACCCCCCAAATGTATTGCCCTGGCTTCTCAACCCCCACACTCTCCCCAGCCAGTCGTTGATCCACTTAGGATCTTTGTCTCTGGTATGCTCACCTGGCTTGCTTTCTCTGAAGCTGCTGTCGGTGGACCCTGGTGAGCTGGAACGAGAAGGGGGGCGGGGATGGTAGAAGCGACTGGCAACCTTGGCTGAAAGACACCCCTACCCCTATTCCGAGGTCAGAGCCAGGTCCAGGCACCCCATAGCCCCATTTCCCCGGTAGCTTCCAAGCTCAAACGCCGTTTCAGGGAAGTGAAAGAAACATTGCTCTTCTGGGTCTTGGGTTTGACTGGAGGCGACGACCTGGAGGGGTAAACTTGGAGAAGGGGCGGCGGATGAGCACCTCTGCCGTACAATTCTCAAGCTCTCCCTTTAGCCTTGGCATTCGCACGCTCTCGGAGGTTATGACTAGAACCAGTGTCACCACACTCCTGCCTCTTCGTCCCCTCCCCTCTTCCCCCCTCCCCTCCAAACCCGCGGCTGGGGCAGCCCTCACTCCCGCGGTGTGCGCATTTTAACGAGGCCCGCGGTGAGGAAATCCGTTCCCGGCAAGCCCGGGCTGGGCTCGTGGCCCAGTTATAGCAGCATTTGGAGGCCAGGCCCTTTGCTCAGCAGACACCGGGGCCTCCTTTTTCTCTGGCCGTAGGAACGCTCTCTCAGTCAATGGAAACTGCTGTCCCAGGGCGCTAGCCCCTGTGTGGGCCTCTTACATATCTCAGGAAATGCCACCTTTTCCGCCCGGATCCAGTAGAGTCCAGGAGGTCTCTGCCTTGCCCCTTGCCGGTGGGCTACAGCTCTCCAGGATGCCCCAGGCCTGCCGCCGCACCAGCTCCAGCCCCTGCAGAGGCCTAGACTGGGGCTGCTAAACGCCAGGATCCCAGGAAGCAGACCGCTCAGGCCTCTGCCTGCAGCGGGGAAAGACCCTTGCATCCCGGGTGATCTGCCAGGCACTTGGCCTTGTTCCTCCCGGTGTGAACCCCGACCGAGAAGGAAGCCGAGCCTGAGAAGACCCAGAGAGGGTGCACGGGAGAGCTGGCGGAAGAGCCCTGGCGCTGGCTTCTGAGATGCAAGCAGTTGCTGAATCTGCCTGCTGTGGCTGCTCTCCGCCCGCCCGCAGCGCGGGCGGCCGCGCCACAGTTTGCGCTGCGCTCTAGCCGCTTCCACCCAACTGGCCTGCGCCTGGCGGTGACCGGATCCGCAGGCTGGGCATCGGGGGTACAGAGGAGGGGGATAGGGAAAGACAGAGAGACACAGAAGGAGAGAAGGCCAGAGGGAGAGAAAAGAGAGGGGGAGAGAAGGGGAGAGTGTCTGAGAACTAATTCTTTCCAGTCCACAAGCTCCTGAGGCCGAAGTAGCAGCCGCAGCCGAATCAAGTATGTGTGGAGAGATCAGGAGCTGTCCTTCACTGCCCACCTCCTTCCCACGAACAAGGCCAAGGCAATTTCTAATCCGGCTAGGCCCACGAGATCGACAAACTTCCATATGGAAAGCTTCAGAGCTCGGAAACCTAGGACCCTTCTCTGGACAGGCTTGGTCCTTATCCCACTCACCAGGAGGGTGTAACGCATTGGGACTGTGGCGCTCAGCAGTGCTACTGGGAAATGCCACAAAACTGAGGACTGCTTGAGAAGGGGCTTTGCCTCTTAGCACTGCTCATGCCAATCAAGAAAGCTCTGCAGAGTGTGAAGTAGGTCCCAAGAACAGGAGAGGGTTCCTTGAAAAGAACGCGTCCCAGCAGGCCAATGGGCCAGGACTTGGTTACTCTCCCCACTAAATGCACAAAGCAACTTCCCAAGGCTGTAGATTGGAAAGGGTCAGTGGCCATGGGAGAGGATGCTTGAGATGGCAGAGGCTAAGAAAATAAAGTGAAAAGTCAATGATCTAAACCCGTCTTTCTCTTTGAAAGTTAAGGCCCCTTTGGAAAAGCTAAGGCCAAGCTCTGATTCTTATCCTGTGAAAAATGCACATCTGGGCATTCCCACAATTTGACCCATCATTCTCAAGGAGTTCACAGACTCCTCACAGTCTTCTCCTTGGGCCCTCCAGAATGTTCCAGGACCTTCCGGAATTCAGCAGCCCTGCCAGTTTGACTGGTAAGACAAGCCGGTTGCCCCGGCCCTAGGCAGTTCAGGCTTAGTCTGGTCAGGGCTCTGTAGGGTGACTAAATGGGCTTCTAGGCTGGGTAAGATCCAAGAGCATGCAGGTGCCAACCAAGGTTACAAAAGTCAGCTTGGTGCTGCATCTGCTATATGAAGGTCCCCTTGGCTGCCGACTCAGAGGAGGTGGAAGGCTTGCTGCAGCCTCTCAGACCATGGCATTGGCACTTGGGTCTTCACTGACCTTTGGGAGAGCTGGATGTTTTTCTCCAGTGTCTTTTCTCCCCTTGCAATAAACCAAACGGGATGTTGAGTTTCTTGCTTAAAAAAAAAAAAAAAAAAAAGGATGACGATGATGAAGAGTGTGTAAGCCCATGTGAGAGTTCTTCTCTGGCCCAGGACCGCCACCCCACCCCCACCGGGGCTTGCCGAGCCTGAAGCCGAGCGGAATGGACAGCCTTGCTGACGCGCCGGGGCGCCGACTGGCCTGCTGCCGCTGGTTCGGACGAGAAGATATCCACGCAGCAGAAACTCAAGTTAGAGGCTACTGCCCTTTCAGCTGGTCTTGGAGCTCCCAGCATCCCCGACTGCCCCCAAGCCTCTGCACTCCCCAGACTGTAACACTGAGGTGTTAACTTTCTCAATAGAATATTCCGTTTATCGATTGCCTGGGCTTTCCCAAGGTTCTCCATTCCCGAGAGAGATTAAGAAAAGTGATTTAGTTGCAGCATGTGTAGGCTTCTGGACACTCTCTTCCCTCTAACCCATTTGCCTTCTTTTCTTCTCTCCTCTTCTCCCTCCCTCCCAGCTGCTGAATTTCTCTCTCGCCCTCAGGATGCTTTTGACCTAAAACTCTCGGTGCCTGCTTCCTTCAGCCAGGCCTGTGTAGTGGTTATATATATGGCTGCCCCTAAAGCCCACGTTTTATTTAGGAGTAAATATTGTCTGTTTCTACCTGGGTAATAACGCTTCCCCTCCCCGTGGCCATGGAGCCGAAGTAATCGCCAGGCCAGTGGAAAAAGCCCTTTGGCGAGGATTACGATGCACTTCACCAGAGAGCGGATTCCTACTCCTCCTGAGTAGGCCCTCGCAAATGACCAGAAATAACAAACTGTTATTACCAAAAAACACCTCTTTTTAAAAATACTGGGTACTGAGATTGAGATAGCCAGTAAACAATCTGTATCTGTAAATTGTTCTCAGGGCTTTCCGGGGTCAGAATTATCTGACCCATTGTGGAGTTGGGCTGTAGCATCACAGAGGAAAAACAAACGCCACTTTCACATATCTGTTTTAATAAAAATTATGAACTTCTCTGATTCTCTCCTTTACTGTATAGTTAAAATATTTTTTATTGTAAGCGATGACATTCTTTTCTCGTTCATCTTTAAGAATGTCAGCATTTCCAGGGATATTTGCTGTGTCTGCTTTGAATTAATCAGGTGCAATCTATCCCTCAACAACGCACTTTAAACTTTTCTCTAAATCCAGCCATTAAACTGGCCCTTCTCTAGTGATGGGGGAGTGTTGGGGCCTTTTCTCATGCTCCCTAAGTTACAGTATCCTTAATTTTGTCCATAATAAACTGCTTCTGGCCTTGAAACTAGAAGTGGTGCTGGGATTTTAGGGAAGGCTCAGGCTGCAGACAGCATGGTGCGGGTGCCCACTCGGTGTGGTTCCTGTGGCTGCCTTATTCTGACAGAATTTGGAATCCCGAGCTCAACAAAGACTAGTGACTTTTGATAGGCAAATTTACGAACACACACACAGGCACACAGGCAGCGCCTATTTTCTGAGATTCCTGCCCCCACTCACCCATGCACCGTATATTTGTAAAAATAAAAAAACCATTTCAAGAAACTAATGAGAACATCGGAATAAAAACTTAAATATAAGAAAAGAGGACATTTGAATCTAGCCTCTGAAATCTTAAGTCAAACGATTATTTTAAAACGTGTTTTATGACAACGCTGATGGACAGATTGTGATCAGAGTTGATTCTCAGTGCGAGCTTATGAAAACGTATAGGTATTTACCAATACCGTTTTTGCATATTTTGCAAAATATGCGAAAGATACCATTTTTACATCTAAGAAATCACCACAAAACCCCAGCCCGGTTTATAATGGTACATTCCGAATAAGCAAATACAGACTTCTCTGGAAGCTTCAAAAATCATATGTGACTTTTTTGAATTGGCCTTCTTCAGAACAAAGGTTTTCCCCAGGCTGCTGGGGCACCTAGTAGGAAACCAGCGGCCTCCCGGATGTCTGCCCCAGGGAATAAGCCAGCCCCAGTGGCCACGGTTGCTGACCACCTCATTGTTTGGAGTAGAAACTTTATTTTTCCCAGCCCCGCCATCTCTCTCTCTCTCTCTCTCTC